TTTACAATTAATGATGTCGTTGTAACTGCGAGAGGAAACGGGCATTTGTGACCGACACACAACCGCGAAACACAGGAAATCCGGTAGGTCGTACAAGTGTCCGACCTTGATGCCCGTTACCGGACCCTGTCAACGTTGTACCATACCTATTTGTAAACAAAAGCGCTGACTCTACGTATTGTACCGCGGGTATGGCGGAGATGGTGGTTCCACTGTACTGTAGACGCCGGTATATTATAGCTTTTGTGATGGTAACATCCGGGTGTTACCGACAACGGCCTGCGAGAATCAACAAGTATACCTACGTCGCAGGTTTGTTATGACCCACGTGAGTTTTTTTCCCTGGTCGTTAATAGGGAGGGGGGGTTGGGAAGCCGAGGAAGGCTCTGTGCCGGAACGGGTAAAAAAAGATAAAGGCCGATCGTCAATAGACCATTAACCGTGTACTCGGTGCCGTCGCCGCCGTTGGCGTTGAACGCAATCAATTTTCTTCCGACGGCGGCCGTGGCGTTTAAACGCAGACGGCCGACGCCTCTGCGGACGCTCCGGCCAGGGCGCCCCCCAGAAGTCGCGACGGAAAAGCTTCTTGTTGCCGCGTTCCGGCGCGTCCAAAGTCCGACGACGCCGCAATATCTGACGCCACGTCGGCCGGCCGCCACCGCCGCCGCCGGGTCCCGCGTCCTCGAACGCACGCCCCCGACTCTTTTATCATAACACCGTTGACGTCCCAAGGATGTTTTTTACTCCCCTGCGGACCGCCGTCCCCACTCGCAGAGGACTGATCGTGTCGCAGTGCCGCCGGCGAACGGGTATACGGGACAGGGACAGGCAGACGCCGGCTGCGGCGTCGAGTTTTCGCTTTGATTGTTTCTCAGTTAGTCACTCATTGTTTGTCACGACGTCATCGTATCAAATTCAGATTTCCTTTTTATTGTCGGTGTCGTTGTTGTTTGGCTCGTCGGATAAATTACTTGCGTACCAGCGACCAGCGTACACGTCGTTAGCGCCGAGGCCGTGTCTAAACTCTTAAAAAATTGCATAAATTACCAATGACTTTGGCGATTTTAAATTGACCATTATTTTGATAGTAATACTATTAACATAAGCTTAACTAGATGAACTTGACGGAGACTTAGCCCTTTAAATTTATTGGTCTTTTCGTGGTAAATTACCTACATATTATTATTATTGTACAATTATCTACTTGATAAAAAATAGTTCATGTTATATTGTTATTACCAAACAGTTTTGGCTTTAGTTTTGTTTGTCTAGAAACAAAATTATCACGAGCTTCAAAAAATGCGCTTTAATTATGTGAATAAACTTATGAGAGAACGCCACATATATTACTTTATAGGCACTCGGTATAGGCAATTTATTGTAAAAACCTAATTTAGAGTTAAAATTGTTTATTTTATTTTCCTTTATTCAATATTATTATGGCTCAAAAAATAACATCAACAGTTTATAGAATTACGATAGTTTATGGAGTTTGAGTATGTATTTATTGGGATAGTATTGACTATAGAGGATACCTTATTGGTATAGTTAATTTAATTATCAGACGATGACAGCATGTCCTATGACTTCACTAATAATGTTTTTCCTAAATAAACAGCTTCTAGCTTTTCCAAAAACGGCATGTATAACATCCTCTTGAACACATTTTGATCAAAATTTAGACTTTATTCTGTTACAACTTTTCGAGTTAGCAAAAAACAAGACAGGAATTTGTTTGTACAAAAAGTAATAATCCTAAATGCTAAATTGACCTCAGATCTGAACTGTTCTAACTTCTATTAGCAATCTTACTAAATATGTGCTGTAAAGGGGACCTGATGTAACAGCTGTAAATTAGTTATATTTTTAGGTATATCTTCTGAATCTTACTGGCATTTTTATTGTATATTTATTGGTACTTCATGAAAAATAAAACTTTTTTTTTATGTATGAGCTAATGAATTTATATATGCATATACTAATATATGAACAAAAGTAATATATGCCGCCAAAATGTGTCTGCCGGCATGCAGCTTACAACCTACATGCCATACTTTCGATGGAAACTAAAAAACAACTTTTTCAAGTATCATAGCATATTTGAAGGGCACAAGGAAAAAACGAGCAGTCACTATTTTCTAATCTAAGAAAACCATGTTTAAGTAATGTTAAAAATTGTTAAATTTTTGTTTATAATCGTGCTAAAAAATAAAAAACAAATTAATTTTGTATCAAAACGAATTTTATAACAACAAAATTACCATTTTCAGAAAGTGACTTTCCTTGTTTTTTCCCTGTATCCTTCATTTATGGATGCACCTTAAAAAGAAAAAAAAAGAAATTAATGTGGTGAGGATATACACTTGAAAGGTTTCTCTTTGAAAGGTTCAAATGATAATAAAAGAACATTTAATTTTTCTTATACACTAAGCTCTACCGGTATATATTAGTATACTATTTATCAAGTGTCAACTACTTGGCAATTGTGAATATGGTACTCATTTTATGCTTTGTCCTGAGAAACCTCTGTATTCAAGTCGTGAATGACTTAGGTTATTGCATGGCCAATGTGACAGTGTTCTTAGATGACCTGTATTCAAATAATAAAAGGAGGACCGCCTGTAGGTATAAACTTGAGCTCTCCAATTTTGACCGACAATGTAATGTCTAGTACAAAGAATTTTAAGATGTTAAAATAGTTTTAAGTATAAATGTGCATTAAATAATTATTTCCTTTAGCAAGAAATGAGTTGTTTAGAAAATTGGGAATAGTATTATTACTTATCTAAATCTAGCTATCTCATATAAATTTATAATTTTTGCTTATCAGTTACCTACTTGATTTATCCCACTACATTATGAAAATAATGCATCATATACATAAAATGAAATTCAAATTGTGTGATCGATGCCTTGGGCAAGCGAACAATATAATATATATTATGTATTAAAATAATGAATGTTTATTCTAAAAACATTTTTTAAGATTTTTATCGGAGCAGACTCATGTTTGATTGTTGGAATTAAAACTACTTAAAAAAAAACCAAACGTAATTCGAGAGATTTCTTAATTACAAGACGTGCACCATTGAATGTTAAAAATAATTGCTGTTTACTAATTATATGCATATTGATAAAACCAAACTATATTTTAATCGAAACGTATATACCTAATTAAAATTAAATAACGCACCAACGGCCAACTGTTGATTTCTCTATTTTGACATTTGTGTACACACCGTACACATGTAATAAAATGTTTTATTGTTTTCTAAGTCATAGCCCATAGGTCTTACTCGGTTAGTCAACCAAGCTTTTACGATCGTACTTAACTGATGGGCTATAGTTTAAGCAGACGATGAAACAGCGAATATATATATATATTTATTTATGAATAATATCAAATATGTTATAATAGTACAATGATCAACTGCCATCCGACAGACTAGTAGCTTATACGTAGTGACAGTTTTATTATCTGCAGAACAATATTTGACGTTGAACCTAACCAAACCGATTAAGCAATTATCGGTAATTGGCGTTTTGATCGATTCCGTGTAATTTGATCATAGAAGACCAATTTTCTTCAAGTTGTTTTTGTCTTTTGATCGCGAAGATCCATCTCAACCATAAGGGTGAGGGTTCGTAGGCTACTCTTGGCGTTATTAAACAGTGTTAACAGAAATAGCAGCATTTGAACTATCAATTGATGCTCAGTTAGCTTGGAAATTTAATTTTTATAAAAATAGCAGTAAAAAAAACATCTCTACGCCTACCGCTGTAGTTTTGCACTTTATAGCCCCCGAAACCGCTTGTAGAGAGCAATTAGGTTTATTAAATTTAGAAGTTCAAATGGTACCTTATATCGCGACCAAAAATGGTATCAGTTAGTATCTACCTAACAACGAGCAATATCATTAAATACTTACAAATCAAATAAATAATCCAATATACAAATATTTTGCTCACATAGTATGTATTATAAGAAAAAAACCAAACTAAATACATTGTAATATTGAATATGTATATTTAATATTGTATAGTAAAAAAAACTATGTTTTTATACCATAAAAGTGACACGAGTTGATTGTTTTTTTTTTCAGTTTTCAACGGTACAAATAACAAACATGTTCTTTGCATTATTTTGAACTAAAACAATGTACCTGAAAACGGTATTCGGATAAATAATACAAACATAGTTATTTGTATTTGTCAATTTACAACTCAACTGAAAAGGTAAAAAATTGTAATGTTTATTCAGAATACACTTAGGTATAACGTAAATATGAAAATTAAATGTCTTTCGAATCTGCAACACAAATACTTTCTAATAGTATATTTAATATTACTACATTACTGCCTTCCTAAGCAAAAATGCCGTAAATCGAAAAAAAATGTTTTTGTAAAAACCCGATTAAACAAAGTAAAATGGTTTCTTACTTGATTTAATCGGTTAAAAAAAAAAAAAATTTTCGAGTTAATGCATTTTTGCTTAGGAGGGCAGATTACTAGTAATGAGATAAACAGTTTGCAATTTCCAAAACTGTGTAGTATTACTATTAGAAAAAATATAAAAATTATGCTTATCAAAAATCAAACTTGATACCATTAATTAATAAATATAATTACAAAACAACTAATTATACTTAAGAACATACATAGGTGTTACATACAATGTTCTTAATGTTACCTAAAAAACGCTTGTTAGAAATAAAATTTTGGGAAATTGCAACTATAAAAGTAATTGAAAATAAAATATTTATACTATTCAAAAGTATAAACAAGCGAGTTATATGCCATAATAATTTGTAAATATCCATTACAAAACTAATAAAATAAATAATTAGGAATATACATAGTATAAATAATGTATCTGTTATAAAATATATTTTGCAACCAATACATAACAAATATTTACAATAGAAACAATACATTTTTGAATGAAAAATTGAAAATTAATATATTTTTTTGTAAACGATGAATACTAGTTTGCACAAACAAAATCTTTTAATTTAATTGAACTGATAATTTATTAATCTAATATATACATTACAGATTAAATAGTCGAGATTAAAATTTTAAATTGAAAACAAAAAAAAAATTACATATAATTTAGTTTTTTTACTACACTTATTTGAACAGTGTACTTGAAAAACTCAGAAAATAAATATAATATTTTATTATTAAAAATGGTAAATAATGTACAATACAAATGAATGGTTCAACTTTTAATAATATACTAATACATTGATTTATACTGCATTTGCGATGGGGTTTTTTCTGTAAAGAACCGTTTAAGCATAAATACTTGCATGATAGCTACGAATAATATAGCAGCAGTTTCAGTAGCTGACCACAGTGTAACATGATGATTTAAATCTTCGGCCCGCTTACGACTCTGGGCTTCTTTTAGCCTGTGGTGGGTCTGGTAGTCGATTATTTTGTTTAGGGACTCATGAATCTCTTGAGACGTCGACTCCATCTATTTAAAATGGGATATCGTCATATTACATAATATATGTATTGGTAGTATAGGAATGAAAGCATTTTTAAATAAATACCTGAGTCATGACGGTAATGTGTTCGCTGATGCCCGGCAGTTGTTCTTCATCACCCACTTGCAAGTCCATGTAAACAAGTTTATGGGAAAATGTAGAAAATTCATTACTGAAGCATATGGCGTATGCACCACTGACAGACGCCACAAACGTGTGGCTGTCAAACTGAGACTTCACTTGCCGATATATGATTTCTTTCGTCGGCGATTCAATTATAACATCCACGTCGTACTGGCCACCAGTGACCACCTAGGAACGCAAACGTCATAACATACATACTTCCTAACCGGCTGGATTTGAAAACGTAACAAGTTTGGTATTTACCTGATATTCCAACGTGGATGACGTGTTCTTTTCGATGTTTTCATAATAACAGTCTTTTGCTTTGTCCTCTAGTTCGAACGTCAGCTCAATGGAGTTGACCAGAGAAATGTGATAAATACAGAACAAGAGGATGGTCAGGGATCTGGTTCGCGACGAGATCATTTTCAAATCGATGTTACGTGGTCGTGGTTGAAGACATTTATACTACCAGGGAACCTAAAGCTCGATTTGAAGAGCAACGCAAGCCGCAAATTTCTTGATCAAATTTCGAAACGCCGATGTGTATTGATAATAAATATTGGAACAGTCGCTGACGTCACTGCCCATTGGTGGTAGCTTACGTGTTTGTATATTGGTTACTGGTCAAAGATAAGAACGATACGGCTGTTACTTCCCATAGAAAATAAAATAATTCTTTCACTATCTATGTTACCTCCACACCACCAGACGTGTACTACTGTAACCGTGGTTTTTGACAACATGATAACTGCTAAAAACGCTGTTATCACCTTTTTTTATTATTAGAGTCACGAATAGTGATAACAATGAGAAATTGGTTAACTATTGTTATTTGTTATATACTTATCTATGATTATTAGCAAAACATATTATTAGTCATCCGGGCCATTAAAAAACCAACCTCAACATAAGAATTAATAAGTACCAATTTTAGTTTTGGAAGTGAATTTACATTTGCCAACAAAATGAACCGTTTGTTTGGAAAACCGAAAGACAAAGCTCTGCCGCCAGACATGACGGAAGTCATCAAAGGTGTAAGTAAACCGATATCAGTTTTGATCGTTTAAGTTTGTTGTAATGACTAATGTGAGCATTTTGTAATGTTATGAAAGGTGGACGGGCGAGCAGAATCGATAGAGCAAAAAATCAACAGGCTCGATGTGGAACTGAAAAAACTGAAAGATCAAATGTCTAAAATGAGAGAAGGTCCTGCAAAAAATTCGCTTAAACAAAAAGCTTTAAGAGTTTTAAAACAAAGAAAACAGTAAGTTACCTTGTGTACAACTGGGATCACACATTTCAACTCATGGGTATCATCTTTGATTTAATATTATACTACTAAACAGTAAACCATACTATTTATATGATTGAGCTCAAGTTTGCAAAAGTATGCGATTACTTTTATAGTTAACTCCACTCCATTCTACTCTCTAGATGTAAATTCTTATAATAAGTCCTTATTTATTTACATATTATACCTTTTAAATAGTTAGCAATTTTTTTTGTTAAGAGGATGTCACACCCGTTATTTTCTTCAAAAAACCCTGCCTTGCACGAATTAATTTTACAAAGGCTGTAATCAAAACTAAGAAGCCAAATTTTTACATAATTAGACAACAATTTTGTCTGTGCTCTACCATGACCCTTTTTTAATATTTCAACCAGTTAAAGAATAATTAATTAATTAAGAACGGCCTTTTTTTACTTTTTTAAAAATGATATAGCGTTGGTTGTATTAGTTATATCGAAAAAATACGGATGCTGGAGCATAGATAATTTTGTCATTATTAATATGTATGAATTTCTTTCCTTAACTATTTATGAAGCCTAAGAAAAATTAATCCGCGTAAAACTCAATTCAACAGAATTTTTTTTTTATATCGCTGTCAAGGATGCTGTGATAGTCCGAAAAATAATTTTACTACCAAAAAAGAGTCCTAACTACTGAACTAATAATTACACATCTCAGTTTAAACTTTAAGTTAAGATTTTGTAAAAAATTGCCTATACTTTATTGGACGTCTGTACTGACTGTTGATTGATAGATTATTTTTTTTTGTAAATTCTAATTACACAATTAAAGTCAAAATATGGATTATAATATATAACTGGTTTTTTTCTAGTGCCGTGAATAGAATATTCTTAACCACTGATAAAATGTTTTTAATATCCAAGATGGTGGTTTAACGGTTAATTGTCAATAATAAGCTTAAGTTTTTTATTCTATTGTTTTGCACTAAAATAAACTAACAAATTCAATTGAACATAATGATATTATGATATTAGGTATGAAAGTCAGGCTGAAAATTTAAGAAACCAGTCTTTCAATATGGAACAAGCAACTTATGCCGTTCAGACGTTGAAAGATACTCAGTCTACAGTAGTAGCAATGAAAACGGGCATGAAACAAATGAAAAAAGAATTTAAAAATATTAATATTGATGATATTGAAGTATGTTGGCTAATATTACAAATGTATATACGAGTATAATTAAATTGCATTGATAATTATAATTTTTGGTTTTGTTTAATTAAGGACCTACAAGACGAAATGACTGATATGTTAGATCAATCTAACGAAGTTCAGGAAGCATTAGGTAGAACTTATGGTGTACCAGACATAGATGAAGATGAATTAAATGCTGAACTTGAAGCACTTGGGGACGAATTAACCTTGGATGATGATACATCGTATTTGGATCATGTTAATATCCCGGATAAGGAACCCGAACATAAGGAGCCAAAAAAGCCCGGAGAAATTGATGTTGATGAATTTGGTCTTCCTAAAATACCAGCCCAAATTTAATGTCACTAATAAAATAATGATTCAATGTAATGTCGTGGAATCAAATAATAAAATAAAAAATTATTGTATATTTATTATGTATCTTTAAATTTGTAAACATTTTATAGCTTGTAAACGGCCTAATACCATAGTTTTTAAACCAAGTATACTATCACTTAAAATAATATAACTTGTACTTGTATATATTAAAATAAAATCTTAATTGTATTTAACATAATATATGAATATTTTAAAGCTTTCAAATTGTCTAGAAAAAACTGTTAAGCAAATTTATGGTTAAATGTATAGTAAAGATATAAAATCTACTTGAACCCTAAACCATAAAAATTATACACTTCTTGCGTACACGTGTACGCACGTGTAGCGCTAACAACAATAGTCTGTTGTTAGCGCTGAAGATGACAACATCGTTGTCGTAACACGTGTACGCAAGAAGTGTATAATTTTTATGGTTTAGGGTTCAAGTAGATTTTATATCTTTACTTTCAAATTATGTTTTTTAGAATGTGACGAAACAATGTTATTTCATTCATATTTATACTGTATATTTGTTATGGTTAGTTACATTTTTATACATAACAAATGAAGGGCTGAAAAAAATTATCATAGTCAATGTGCCCAAAGTTTTCAGTATTGCAGTTTTAAGTTTTATAACTCAAAAAAGACTTGGAGATTTAGTATAAGATAACGCACATAAAATAATATTGTTCTTTTATTATCTTTATTGATAAGTTTAAATACAAAATAATCAAATTTATTAGTCTAAATTTTTGAAGAAAAAAAATCGATTGAAAACAAATTGGCGAGTGATAATGATTGTTTTTCCCCACAGCCCTTCAAATAGTAATGATATTTATAGTGTTGATGTGGATAGTTACATTTTAGTTTTATTTTTTAAGTAAAATTGAATTTCATAATTTTTTTTATTCAACGGCTTTTAAATATTTGATGGTAATAATTTTGTACAAAATTATAATCTTTCTATGTGATAAAGTAAACAAAATGTTTTAATGTCAAGTGAAGTAGATGTAGAAATGTGCTATAAAATATAAATATTAAGATGATAACAAAGGTTTCAAGTTTCAATAACACTTTATACTCAATAGTCAACTAATGAAACATAATTTATAACAAATAAAAAATGTATACCCAACCTTAGTCCTTAACTACTATGAATTTAATAATGAATACAGTAATTTGTATTAAATAATAATTTATTAGCACTAACATTAACAAAACTACCTTATCAATACTATCTAAATTAATTAATTTTAACTACCCAATTATCATAATATACAACATTATATAACTTGATTTAAATTTGTATTTACAATATGACAATTAAATGATCGACTAAAGTGGTTTACAAAATGAGGCAAAACATCATGTACACTAACATTTTTTTCTAAAAGTAAACTAAGTGATGTAACTCCTTTTTCGGTCAATCCACACGGTACAATGTGCTTAAACCACGACATGTCAGTATTGCAATTCAAAGCCAGGCCATGTGTAGTGATATATCGACTACATCTAACTCCCATGGCACAAATTTTATTATTGCCTATCCAAACACCAGTATCAGGTGTAGTTGTTGCCTTGAGATGATATTCTTCATTGCAAAGGTTTATAATTGTCGATTCCAGTTGTTCGACATACCATCGAATACTGGGTTTAAAATGTTTAAGGTTTAATATTGGATATGCAATTAATTGTCCCGGACCATGAAAAGTTATTAGACCGCCACGGTTAGTACGTTTGAATTGGGCGCCCAGTTTAATCAAATTGTGTTCCAAATCAGAGTTGTAATCACGTTTTCGAATGCCAATCGTATACACTGGTTCGTGTTCAGTTATAACAAGAAAACCACTGTCATTTGTCGCAGTAGTTTTTAAATATTCTGAGAGTTGATTTTGTAGTTTAAGACATGGGTCATAGTGCATTCGACCCAACTTCAACAGTTTTATTTTTGAAATCATAATATTTTTTTATTCCAAGTTCTTGAGATGTTCGAAAAGTATTAATGAAATCTAAAATAAATATAATAATAACTATAAAAGCACTCAAAGCTATATTGGAAACAATAAATTCCATGTACTTTAACTACTAATTTTTCAAGCATAGTAGTAGATTTTATAATACTCATGGAAAATTCATAAATTGTATTCAAAATATTTCGCAATCTACGTAGCTATGTTTTGGAAAAATAAATATAAAAATGTTGATTATCTATGGTGCAATGGTTTAATAAAAAAATTAACTAGTAGAAAAGAATCTTATTTACAATATTAATAAATTTAAAATTGTTTCAAAAAATTGCCTATATAGCAAGTTGCCTATATCGGATTGTATGACGTCCTCTTTACAACCAAAATTATTATCTTTATAGAAAAACTAAATCGTTTTTTTTTATTTTCAAAATTTTCATAACTCGCAAATTTTGCTGTAAAAACATAAAAATTAAACACTGAAGTTGTCACAAATACTCACATATGCATCGGTTGCAGCATACATAAGTTGTTTTTCATTAAGATTTGTGTTATTCCAGTTTCCCATTCGGATTTGAACATCTTTATTGACATGTTTTTTCAGCTAAATCAAAATTTTAAAGTTTTTTAAATTTTATGATAATTATGCACAATTTATCACATAGTAGCTTACTAAATATTGAACTAAATCTGCCATGCTCCATCTCAAATTTGATTCAAAATTCAAAACTTGGTTAGTGTAAGTTGCCAAATCAATAATGTTACTTATTGCAACACTCAGATCAATATTGAAATCTCTCGATAGTTTTAAAAAGTCACTATAAAAAAATTATTATATTAGTTTATTTGAAGTACACATGTTTCGTAACTAATACATTTTATAGAAACAATTTTTTTTTTATGATTTTATTAATAAACACAACTTAGAAATTTTCCTTGTAGCACATGCAAAACATAGTATAAGCCAGTGATTTAGGAAATTGTAAACTAGCATAGAAACACACCACTAATTAAAAGGTTTATAATAATATATATTGTAACTTCGCAAAGTGTGTAAAAAAAGTAATTTTAATTGTTTTTTAACTTCCAAATTTAATTTAGATGTTCTACCTAAATCAAATTTTTTTTATAGTTACTTTTTCAAACCCAACTATGTTAACTGTATTGATTTTAATTGTTTTAACTATACGTTCTATATAAGCAATAGCATTTAAAAATTATTTTATTTAAATATTTATGATGAAAATTAATTTATTCTCTCTCGAGTAATAATGAATAAATTATTATAAATATAAATTTACTTTTTAATACAAACGCCTGACCAGCGTACATTTGGAGTATTTAATAAATTTTGAAAAACATTTGGCAGTTTTTGAAGTAAATAGACCTATATAAAAAAAATTAACTTATGTATAAATATACTTAACAAATTGTTATTTATAAAAAGAAAGTATTAAGTGAGAATACATACATGAAAAATATAACAAAGTGTATGATTGACACAAATTTGAATCAAGGCTGTTTTTAAACTTTTCCCATTCAGAACTGGCCATTCCATATCAAAACCAAAATAATGAATTTTCTTGTCATCAATTAAATCCCTACAGAAAATAATGTAATACATAATACCTGTATCCATTGTGAAGAGATAAAAAGTCAAATTTCAGATGACTTACATGATATCAACTGTGTATGCTGCTAAATAAGTTGCCTGGGTACAATAAACAACTTTACCGTGAAACTCGATATAACGGATAGAATGGTTATTTTGAGTTTTATTCTAAATATAAAAGAAATTATTTAAAACATAATTGTTAGCAGAGTTAATATTTTTCACGGAGTATGAAAATATGTTTCTTAGTTTTCTGGTTTAAGTGGTTATTTTTTAACTACATTAAACTATGATGGAGAGGTATCTTTAATGCTGCTTAATGTAGAGCACTTTAACAAAAATAAAATAATCAGCACACTGAAAATAACTGAATAGTGATATCAGAAAAAACCATCAAATATAATAACTTGAGTAAGTACACGAAAATTAGCGGCACAATAATTTTGTTTTGCATTTTGTAATGCACTGTTAGGATTTGTTAACTCAATTCAAATGATTAAAACCTCGAATCTACCATAATATTTTTTTGACTAATGAGTTGTGTAAATGATTATCAAGTTTTACAAGTATTCAATCCTTGTCTGTTGATCACAATATGATGACATTAAACACGAATCAGTTACTATACTTCATTAACGACCAAAAGGGTCTTTAACTCACAGATTCCATGTTTTGCATCCACGAAGGGACGAATCTAGTTTTGTTTTGAGTGTTTGAAGGTAAGTCTTGCATCCATGTAGGAACGAACCTAGAATCATCATTGGAGTTTGAAGCCATTTTGAAATTTACTACTGTGATAGAGTTATTTAAAGTGTTTGAAATAAAAACTCGTATAACAATGGTTACAATAATAATATAATAGGCAATAATAGCCAATAGGTGACTACAGCAAAACGAACCCAAAAAACATTCACAAATGAAAAAAGGAAAGATTTTTAAAAATCACATTAAGCTGATAACAACGACATTGAACATGTGATAGTGGTGAACCATGATACCCGACCGACAAAAATTGACTGATAAAAAAGAATGATACAGGCAGCACCAAGGACAAGCGTAAATATTATTAAAATTACAATTTAGTTTGCTGTAACATAATTCATTATTGAATAACTGACTCACGAAATGGAAATAAACCAAATAAGTAAATTTTAGAAAAGCATTTTTACGGTTTCATGTACTCCCATTTACTCTTAAAATAAGATTTGTATTATTTTCCTTAAAGATTTTGGTCTTAAAAAAAGTATATTGCAAGTAATTTTACTGCCAACTTAAACACTGTCAACACTACAGCACTTTGAAATTAGTTATTACTATTTACTATGTAGTTGTTAGTGCCTTGTCCGTCAAGCGTGTAGTGTTTTTCAGTACCTAATATCAGTCTGATGTCTAGTGTGTACATCATTACTCGTTGGGATTATGTTTTATGTTTACTAAGGTAATCGGACTTCAGTAATCACTATTCGTCTGACGATAATAATAATTATCAGTTCAACATTATCAAAATCGCTGGCTTTCACTGTTTATTGGCTGTCAGCCTTGACAGGTTAAGATTTTTACTACTTTTCTCGCACAGGTAAGATTCTACTAGTTACTACTATTTTAATGTTTTTTCCCCAAGAATTTGCTTATATTTTGGGTAACTACCAAACAGCGTTTAAACCGAGAGCTATGATTTATAGCATTTGTGTCTTAAATGAATTTGTATAAACATTTCGCTTAAATACAAGTTAATATTAATTTGGAAATTAAAATTTAATTGTTGATGGTTTTCTGTTAAAATTAAACATTTTTTTAGTTTATTCAGCTGTAACAGTTTCAGCTGTCTCTACATTTTAGTATTTTAATAAAGAATAGGTACCTCATAACATTCCTGGATATCACCAAAAACTCTTAAATATTACTGTATTTGATACTATGATTTTAAGTATATTGGCAATGTCAGTATTGTTGTTTTATAATAATGTAGATTAAAAAAAAAGGTGTATAATTGTACAGCAATATCTTTCTATGACGTATAACATATCTAAGATTGTATATTAGACTGGTAAATTGTCTACTAGTATTCTATTATATTGACTAATCACTTTTAACTTAGCCTAAGGTTTTGAAAATATGAGGTATACCTAACTATGCACTAAAAAAATTACATTTACGTCGGGTCCATTTTTACTACAGATTCTAGGAATACCAGGATCTGAGCCTTGACATTTTAGATGGGCTCTCATTTACGTTTTGAGTTTACCAGGTTTAGGCCTTACGGCCACAATTACTTTAATTAAGATCTATACCTAATAAGAATAGTATTGATATACACTATCAAAATTAAAATTTTACTTTTAGTTTATGATTAGTTGAGTTGTACATTATATTATGTTATTAATATTTATGTTGTTGTAATCAATTATGATTTTATTAAATTATAAATTTGAATGTATCTTTAGTTTTATTTTTTTCTAGCTTTTATATTTTCCTTTTGATTTTATTGTGCTTTAAATATTAGTTAAATCTAATATTCCTTAATAGAACTGTAAAATATGTTATATGGTACATAGGATTCACGGTTTAGTAACCAAGTTAAAAAGCCTCACAATGTAATTATACTTCACAAACACTGTTAATTGGCTCCAAGAAGTAAAAGCACTTGCCATAAAATATAAAACAAATATTTTAGCAAAATTAAATTAAATCTAATTTTAAATTTACTTTACAGATGGCCATAACTTGGAAAAATTAATTTTAAATCAATTAAGGAACTATTAGTAATACTTCATAGTAACCAAGTCATAAAGTGTCTATATGTTAAAATTTAAACTTAACAACTGAATAAAATTATTTATAATAAAAGAAAAACAATTTCCTAACTACAAAAAAACTCTTACTAAAATACAATTTTAGGTTTATTTAATTAATCAGTTAATTTTTTTAATGACCATTTAAATTAACACAATTGTAATAGTGTCATATTTTTAATGATTTTAATGACTGTCGTCAATTATTATGAGGTTAAACCCCATTTGTTTTGTTGTGTGAACGTGACATTGAAATAATGTTGTATTTGAAAACAAACTCGATGTTGGCATTTTAAAAGTGATCACTCGCCATATATACAATATAATAAAATACCATCGGCTACCCTCGTGTTGATGCGATGTGCACGTGGCCTAGAACATTAGTATTTAGTGATAACACCCAACATAAACACCCATGTCTTATTTACTATACCTATTCTGAATTTATTTGTACTGACTCACGCCCACCTTAGGTACATTGCTTGGCAGGTTATTTTGGCGCCACTGGAGGGTATAGTAGAAGAATAATATAGGTAATGATTTTCTTATTTTTCACATGTTCCTTGACAATGAACGTAGTTTAACCACAATAAGTCATTGCCCTTTTGTCCTGTACGACATATTATATTATGTTCTATAGATATTAAATATTAAAATGGCCTTCTGTATCTTTGAAATTTGATATATCCATTGTTACATACGCGCGAACAATTCACGGCGAACATAAACAAAATTAATTAAAATTATATTGTACATTGAATTATTTTGTTAATGTTGAATCATTCAAATGTATGTAGATGTATTTAGTTGTTTTATGTTATTTGGCTTAATAGCATGTTTTTAGCGGTTTAAAGTAAATCAAAGAAACTAAAAAAATAATATGTTGACATTTTAGTAATGTCTGTTTTATCTATTAAAAATTGTTTCCAAATAGGTGGGGATCGTTAAAAACGACTTTTAATTTGTTTTCTTGTTTAAAGATTAACTTGGCGAATGCGTCATAATTTTTTTACCGACTTTTTTATGGATAAGGTATTCTATGCTAAAACAGGTGCGTGTCAAACATTTGGTTAAAATTTCTGTGTTAAACGAGATATGACTGTAAACTGTAAAAAAAGGAAACGATTCGGGATTCCTGTTCGTTATAAAAGTAAAATGCATTACAATTTACTATATCTAAATATGATTCAATAACAGAAATCTACACCTTTGTAGTTCAATGTAGTTGTGCTAAAAATAATTACTGTTAACGAATAACTAGAATAAGTTGTTGCAGTAATTGAGTAGTTGAACTCAATTTTAATATTGGAAACACTCCAAGTATTTTTATGGCAAAGTAATAAGTTTGAACTTTGATCACACACAGTTGGTAGGTAATACGATACTGTATAGCAGATAAATGTATTAAGAATATTAATCTTAGAATACTTTTGCGAAAGGAAATTCTTGTCAAACTCGGATTCGTATTGTATGCGATCAAAAATTATTTTCATAGCAAATTTTTATCGAAAATGTTAAACAAGTGTTTTAGATGTTTGTTTTTAATTAGCTAATTGATATTACTAATGACATATTTAGAGGAGAATGAGATAAATGAGAGAGAATGTTGAGCATAATACGAGAGAGTAAAGAAATGTATTAGGTATTAATAATTAATGTAATGTAAAATTTTGATGTAAAAACATATTTAATTATAACTAATAATTTAAACCAGATAATAAAAATAGTAATATTTTTAAAATATCGTGAAAATATATTTTAAAAGTATTTTAAACTATATATTATAAATTTTAGTATTGTTTTTTCTGACCTGGACATTTTTCTATTATTTTACTAGGTATTATTAGTGTGTAATGAATTTGTTATTCCATATTGTGGGATGATTCAAGTATTGTTTCTATCAGGATACCTATATGGGTATTCGGCCGTTTGAATTATTACTAAATCGTGACATATTAAACCTTGCATGCCCTTTTTGAGAACATTTTTTTTAGGCACTAGCGAAGGCCAGTCATACTGGTATATTTTACATTACATAGATACAACATTATATAGGGACTTGTTAATGACATGTCTATGGCGAGTTTAAAACTGAATTAGGTCAAAAAATGATCACTTTTTATTTTTAATGTGTCTCAGACCGTGAAATCGTCTCGTCCTTGAAATCTTTCGAATTATCCTCTCTCTTTTTGTAATTATTATGATAATAATGACCGATTAACGACGAGGAACTGTATTGCTTATTATTCGATTTGATTATGTAAATAGTAAATTCGTTTTTGTTACTTCCAGCTTGGACTCTATCATTGTTTAGTTATGAGACATGACACTTCCAGTTTCCAGCTATGAAGAGCTGTTGGAAACGGTCCGTAGTCTCAACCAAGAAACCCGTCAACTCCAAAGGCAGTTGAACACACCCTTGCTAGCACAAGGTTCGTCTTCAGGTACGTGTAAATTCCATACAGCACAGACCATAACCGTATTTTTTTTGTTGTTCGTTTTATATACTTTTTTTTTTTTTTTTGAAAAATTTTTTTCGTATTTTAGTTGAATCAAACCGTGAAATGCCATCGAGAAACATGTCCAAAAAAATGACCTTACCTGTTGACAGGGAGACGAGTGCCGAACAAGTAAGTCATACGCATTAAGGTTATTGCTATCGCTATTGTTTTTGAGTAGTTTTAAAGTAATAATGCATTATGGGTACTAACCCATAATGCACACGGTATAGGAGAAACCGTGGTGGTATACGGAGGCCGGTGAATAGTGGAAGGTTGAAGTGTATGATTCACCGGCCGGACCAGTCTGTTGTAAGAATGTTTAGCGATTAGCCGTCGCCGTCGCCCTGCCTTTTTGATATTGTTTTATAATACTCCCTACCAATTCCGGTTTGTGCGGTTATCATGAGGGTTCGCCAGCAAAATTATTGTCGGCTCGAACTAACACATCATAATTTTATCTGCTATGTAAAAAAGCGACAAATAAAACCAACGGAGCGTTAAAACAAAACAAAAATACGTTTGTCTCGTGCAACGTCAACAACTCAATTAATTGTACTAATAATTACTTATTTTTCATTTAAAACATCGGTGTTCCAGTAACTTTTGGGCAGGTACTAGTGGTACTACAACTTGGCTCATTTCAGAAAAATATGTACCTAACTATTAATTAATATTTTTATTGCAAAAAAACTGGAGATCAGTAAAATTGTGTTGTAATTTTGGTTCTGTCCAATTAACAATCATTATTGTCCATTGGTACAGACCTTAATTTAAGTGTTTGGTTCCACGAACGCTCGTTTAAAGTTTATGTACTAATCCCTTGAACATCTAACTATAACGGTGATCCCAACTCGTGATTGGTCAATAAAAAATTTTACGAACCGATAAATAATTGTTCGTAGAAACTGGCATTAGTGTTTATAATTTGAGTCTGTCGATGACGCTTAAGGACAATCGTCTGCATTGCCTTACCACGTCTATGTAAACTATAAATGCGAGTTTACGTGACAGAAAAATATGTACATAAAAAATAAGAAATTTCTGTTGAAAATAATAATAATAATACGTTAGAACCAGAGAAGCACTTATTAGCTATTAAAATTATTAAACAACAAAAAAAAAATCGCTGACGTCGGCTTTGTTAAAGTTTCTCTCGGTTAAAAAAACCGTTAAGCCGGTGTTTATATTTTCGTTTTCGTCAAAGCGTTCTAAAAATAAAAATTAACCATTTGAAATTCCCTGGAAAACGTGCATAAAACAGTTTTCATTCGGGCCTTCTGGTCCCGCGCTTCGTGACGATGTGGCTCTTGGGCTAGCTGAAACTTTATTATAGTGGCTAGTTATGATGATTAGTGTATGTCTTGTTAACGAAACGCTGGAGTGTTAGCGATTTTCGCGTTTTGCCATGTAATATACTTTAAAAATAAACCGTAGTACGCTCGGGCGGCAAAGTTCGCCGGTCGACTGGCTTCTCCTCAGCTGTTAACCACCCCCCTTCGCGGTTCACCCCCGTTTCGATATTGATTAAACTACTCGAGTAACCTTTGTACAACATGAATTTTTTGGCCGTAAAATGTTAGTACACCAACAACTCTCGTCAGTTAGTTTTTGCACACAATCCTGCGCTGTTTGATCCGGGGCTTTTCTCTCGTTATTGTTGTTTTGTGCATTATAATGTACGCTAATAACAACAGACAGTCCAGACTGCCCGTGCGTTCCTCTTCGTCGTCGCGATCCCATCACGTCTCTCCATCCCCGATAGGCCATGGTCGTTCTCAATCCAACCCCGGCAGGCCCCGATGGAGCGTGGCCGTCAAAAACGATAACGACCACGTACACCGTAACAACAACAATAACCATCGCACGACGGAGAGCTTTAGCTTCGGTGGGATAGATATAAACGATGGGGAAAACAATAATAACAATAACTCCACGGGATTCGTTACACGTACCAAGTAAGTCTTTTGTTGTAGACGGTCGATTTTATAAAATATACTTTGCTGACAAAACAAAACAAATTTTTATTTATTAATTAAAAAAAAATTCAACGATTCTTAACGACGTGTTCCGTTTTATCCTAGAAACAACGTGTCTAACGTTCATTATCAGTATTCCTTACAAACACACGTTGAGGATAATCGAAAAATTAATAATTGGCCGGTCACGCAGTCATTGTATGACGACAAACACGGTGCTAAACATTCTTTCAACAACAGTAACACTCGCCTCAGAATGATAAATGAAGTGAGCGCGGTTGAAATGCATTGCATTTTTTAAGACCGTACCTAACTGTAGTTTTTTTTAATGTGCAATTTATTGAATGTGAACAGGGCCAACTAGTGGACAAAGAAAAAAGAGCAATGGCAGAAGACAAAGAAGAAGACGAAGCGAAAATGTCTCCCGATGTAAATTAATAAATTTTATTGAAAAATATGCACAATACTAATAATGATAAATTCGTTTTTGAATTTTTAGAACTGTTTGCCCACACCTCCAGGATTGTTGGCCGACAAAAAATTCAACATGTGGCACAGCGTTGGTCCGACGAATCTATCGTCGAATTCGTCAATGTTAAGGTCTCAAACGTCGTCTGTAGAAGCCGAAAATGTTCTATCCATGAGGTCAAACAGCCAACAACAGTTAGGAGCCAAAGTAGAAATAGTATACAATCTATTATCGCTATTGGAGAACAATAATTCAATACAATCTTCATATCAGTCTGTAACTGTACTTTTGGCGATGAGCAAATCGCCAGAGTGTTGTGCCGCGATGAGACAAACTGGTATATTTATTTAATTACTATTATTTTTTTAATTTTATATTATTAAACACATTTGTTTTTTAATTTTAACTTTACAGGATGTGTCCCATTACTTGTGCAAATTGTTCATGACATGAACGCCGATATAGTAGTTCGGCACAACGCTAGCCAAGCTTTAAAAAATATTGTTACGTTTAATCAGGATGAAAAACAAGGTCGTAGAGAATCTCGAGTGTATAAGCTGCTTGAGAGCATGAGAGAATACTGTGATACACCAGTTGTAGTTCTCAAACAGTTGGATGTCAGCAAACATCCAATCACTTCCATTGCTGCATTAATGAAACTCTCTTTCGACAGTCAACACAGATTTGCTATGTGTGTGTTAGGTAAGTTCATTCGTAATATCGTACAAAAGTGTTGACAATATCAATTAAATTTGTTGATTTATTTTAAAGGGGCTATTCACACTGTAACCAGATTAATTCAAGTAGACCACGAAGTCCATGGCAGTGCACCAAATTTAGAGCCGACCTCAGAGTGTGTTACATTAAGACGATATGCTGGCATGGCTCTGACTAACCTTACTTTTGGCGATGCTACTACAAAAACGCTGTTAAGTTCTTTCAAAAGCTTTCTTAGAGTTTTAATCTTACAACTTCGAATACAATGTGAAGATCTCAGACAGGTTATTAATATTAGTTTTGAAATATTACAACTATTTTAGGTTCTCACAGTGAAAATATTATTAACAATTATGTGATTGAACTTTATAGGTAACCGCTAGTGTTTTGCGTAACTTGTCGTGGAGAGCTGATCCTCAAAGTAAAGAGATTTTACGCGAAGTGGGAGCAGTCAAAGCATTAATGGAAGCTTCTATGAAAGCAAATAAAGAAATGACAATGAAATCATTTTTGTCGGCACTTTGGAATTTTTCTGCTCATTCACCTGACAACAAAGTATGACCAAAAAAATTGCAATAGTTATTTTGTGTAACACAATTTTTATAACTATTTTAGGAAGAAATTTGTAAAGTCGAAGGAGCTATTGAATTCTTGATATTTACCTTAAGTGGCAATAGTCCTTTTAAGTCTGTCACTATTATTGAAAATGCTGGAGGAATTTTAAGAAATATATCTTGCGTCATTGCATCTCATGAGGAATATAGGTATTCAACTAATAATAACACAGTCTTAATAAACAAAAATGATTAAAAAAAATATGTTTTCACCTGTCATATAGAAATATTCTAAGGCGCCATAAAGTGTTTGAAATGCTAATGCAGCAGCTACAATCTCCTAGTTTAACTATTGTGAGTAATGCGTGCGGAACAATTTGGAATTTGTCTGCACGCAATATTCGTGATCAAACGACTATGATTAACTTGGGTATTGTACCTATGCTACGATCATTGATCCATTCCAAACATAAAATGATTGCGACCGGATCGTCAGCTGCCCTCAACAACCTCATGAATGCTATGCCGGCATATAATTCAATGCAAAGTAAAAACATTGATTAATGAAAATAAAAATAAAAATATACTTATGTTTTATTTAATTGTTTTCACAGACGAAATTGAAGAGCAAGAACATTTGATAGAGACGTATGAAAATAGTAATGATAGTAATGTCAATACAAATGAAAATGTTGAAGAAAAAGCCAATGACAATGAATCAAATCATAATGTGTAAGCACTTGTTATGGTTTCTATTTTTAAAATAAATTAAAATAATAATACAATTTATTTTAAAATAATGTTTGTATATTTGTATATAGTAACTCGAATGCAACAAAAGACTCTCGGTTGTATCAAACAGATGAAATTATAGAAAAACACTCGATAAGTGATATTGTTAATGAATCAATCGAGTCTTCAAACATTTCCCACGATGAAGATCAACACACAGATGAAGACCCAAATTTCATTGAAAAAGATAAAAAACTGACAAACGGCTATGCGGAGACTTCATTAGACGAAGCAACAAATTATAGTTTGTTATGTGAAGATGATGATAATGGTGAAAAAGCCTTAACAGGCGATACAACACAAACATATTGTACTGAAGGTACGCCATACAATTTTTCCAATGCAGCGTCTTATACGGATTTAAGAAAATGCGGAGTTGAAGAAAAAGTAAAAGATTTTTTATTTTTATAGTGTTCAAAAGTTGATGAAGTTTAAAATATGTACATATTTTTCTTTAGAGCCGAAACGGATCTGGCAATGATGGATTATCAGGACAAAACACTAATGTTCAAAGCTCAGGAAGTCAAACTCCTGATAACGCTCAGCCCAAGGATGAACAAAAAGATGGTATAAAATCACACATTTTTGTTGTTTATATGTTTCTGCTGTAGGATTTTTCAATAAATTACTCATATCAAATTATTTAGGAAAAATGGTTACGTTTGAAACACCTTTAATGTTCTCACGAAGCAGTTCAATTGCATCACTTGGGAGTTGTGAACCACCGGAAGGATATGTAGGCAGTTCCGCTGTTAGCGAGTGCAGGTAAATACTAAACAAATGTTTAAAATACACTAGTTGTAATATCTAAACCAAACCTGGGCATTTTTTATTTTAATGACAAATAATAAATAATTATTTGAAAATAATGATTTATTTGAAATACATTTTTATTTCATAAATAATAAACTATTATTATAGTAATTTTTTTATTTGAATTAATTATTATTATAACTTTTATTTAAATAACATATTATTTTGTCAAAATTGAAATTCTATTTGTTTTATTTATTCTTTTTATTTGTTATTTAATTGTGGTCAAATAAAATAGTTTTTATTTACCCAATAATACCCAGGTTTTAATTCTTAACTATGATAACATACTATCACTTAATATTTTGCTTAGCCGAGTTACCAGTGGATTAGTGACACCGAGTGAAATTCCTGATTCTCCTACGCCAACAGTCCCTCCAAGTCCTCCGTGCTTTAAAAGTAAATATTTTTATAAATAATAATTTAAGTTTACTTGTGCTATAGGTTTATAATTATAAAAAAAATGTTTGCCTAATAATTATCCTTATTACTAAAACTGTATATATTTATTATAAATTCATTTTTAGCAGTAATCTGTGTTATGAATATTAATGGTACCAAACTAAATGCGACTATCTGTTACTTAATTTTTTACAACAGTTGAGAAATAATTAATTTTATCTTAACTTTGGAACATGGGCGGAGATTTGGGGGGGGGGGAGACTTGAGATTCTAAAAACTTTAAAACTTAAAATTAGTGCTAGATTTATTTTTATTTTAACAAATCTCTACTAAAAAATAAGTATAGATATAGAAAAGCACTAATTTTAAGTTTTTAGAATTCCAAGTCCCCCGTCTCCATGCTTTGGAACACTGACTACCATAAGTTATTAAAATAAATAACAAAAGTTTTTTACTGTAATTTGAACTGTTAAGTAATATTACTTATTAGTTATTACCATTATTATATGCTTCTTAACGGTTCATTGGTCATCCGTGATTATTGTGATATAAAATAGAAATTAAAATATATTACGTAATTGAAAATAAACAAATAATGGGGAAAAAATAATGTCAAAAGGAAATACACATATATATATATATATATATATATACACTTAATTTTGTAAACATAATGACTAATTTCATAGTTGGTTCTTAGCAATGATTTAAAAAAATAAATACTAGTTGTGAAATTTTTCTGTAATGTGTTTTTATTTAAAGATGAGAGTATTTTTGAAGACACTGTCACCGTTTTCAAAGAAGAAAAAATGCCTGGAAAAGGATCGGGGTGTACAAGCTTAAGCAGTTTGACTATTGATGATGATCTTCCAGGGGTGAGATTTGTTGGTTATAGTATTGATTGGACTGAATGGACCCCAAAAACGTATGGTTAAATATACCATCGGCACTCAGGACCAAAACAACACTACCAAACAACCATTCGGTGTGGTCAATCCATTTACGTTCAATCTATAATTATAGTATAATTGGAAACAGTTTTACATTATTAATGATTTCGTTATGATTTTTAGATCAAATTGCAATATCTACAAAATCATGCAAATTTGCCATCGTTAAATGAAGAAAATATATCTAAGTAAGTTGATAGTATTATTTACACATTTCATTTATATTGCTATTGAAATTCAGTTCCACCTTGAGCACACTAAATGCCATAAAGAAATAATAAAAAAAAAATCTTGGTATTGAATTTATAATATGATCTTTTTTTTTAGTAATGCTACGGAAACCAATATGTTTGGATCAGCATCATCAGATAAAGCTTCCAAATCTTTTACGGTAAACCAAGTGAGTTTCCTTGAAGGAAATAAAAAATTATATTTCACATAAAAGAGGGGGAGGGGAAATCCGTTGAAAAAGAGAATGATTGTCATCTGTGAATAACAATAACCGTGAATAATCGATTGTCGTTATAGTTAATATTAAGTGGTTTGCTTTCACTTCTGTTTGCTGGTTCATTTGTGATGAGCTGTGTTTACTTAACAGTACTATTACATCCGAGCGCAATAAAAAGTAAATAATCAATTAATTTTATTACAGTCGTCCTGTTCTGAATCTCCATACGTACAAAACAAAAACCCAGGATTTGTACCTCTTAATAGGTAATTATTACATGCATTTTGTAATGGTCACTTTGTTCATAATTTTTTAATTATTAAAAAATATATTATATTTAATTGAAGGACGAGACTTCCAGTCATGGTACAAAACAACAGCCAATTAACTGAAAGATACTCTGAAAATTCGTTTGCTTCCAAATCTTATAGCAAAATATCAGAAAACGAGGTAGGTTAATTCTCATTATAATTATTAATTTCTTTCCATCCTTTTTTTTTTTTGGTTTTATCGGTTCTTTTTAGAGCCATCACCACTTTCCCCAAGGGAAGGTAATTTTATGCTATTTCTTCCCCTAACTTTTAATAACATTTTTAGGCCGATGAAATGATTGGTTTTTGTACCGAAGGAACTCCTGCAAATATAAGCACAGCGACTTCACATTCAGATTTATCCATTATTACTCCTTCAGAGGATGGATCTGAAACAAACGTGATTCTAAGACAATCAATGAAAGTGGTAATAATTCATGAAATAATGTTTACATAATGGTGAAATTTTGGGTTAATTTAAAAAAAATGTATTTTTAAGGTGGGAAAAAGACGTTTATACCAAACACCTGGAAAATTCAATGGGAGCTTAAACATTCAATACAATCAAAGCTCTTCTATACCACTTTCGCTAAATAACTCCAGGTTTGTTATTCATATAATATTAAACTGAAAATATTAAAATTTTGTTGTACTCACCAGACAATATTGTCATTTCAGGCAAGTAGGTTTAGATTCTCCTTCAACAGAATCTCATGTGTCCAACTCGATAAATTCATCAGAACTAGAAGGTATTACTGTAATAATATAATTTTCTTGAACTCTTAAAAAAAAACTTTTCTCTTGATTTCAGATCCGGATACGGTTATCCATAAACGAATGTCAACCGATTCGATTGGCAGCGAGTTTTCAATGGACGACTCTGGTAAATGTGATAACCAAATGCCTAGATCGCATTCTTTACGAGATGAGCTTACTCTGAACAGTGAACCCATGTCAGAAGATGATGATGATGACGACGATGACAATAACGCTTTATTGGATCAATGCATCAATGCAGGAATAGAAAAAATCACTACAGTAAAAACAGTTGATGATGAGCTACCAGAGGACGAACAGCAAGAGCTGTTGAACCAGTGTATAGCTACAGGTATTAAGATATCGGCCAAGTCCAAATCGCAATTGCCTGTTAAGAAAAGATCCAAAAAACAAGATGTTGATCTCACTGACGAACAGCAACAGGAATTGCTGGAGTCGTGCATTGCTGCTGGTATAAGGAACAGCAAAAAATCATACAAGAACACAACCGACGACTTATCTGATGACGAACAATCCGCTTTGCTAAGCGAGTGTATTGAGGCCGGCATGAAAAACGTACAAAAAAACAAGTCGAAGGACCTAAATGACACTGTGGATTTACACGATGAAGAGACTTTATTGAATAATTGTATTAGCCAAGGCATAAAAAATATTGAAAGAGGATCGATTCCTAAAAAAAGAGAAATACCCGTGTTAAACAAGTACAGTCCAAAAAAGTCGTCCATACCAAAACCGGCAAACGGTGAAGAAGTTAGCGAATCCACCAATACTATCACGCCCGGCGATGATGTTGATGGAATTGACAGTAAAAAAGACGAAAGTGACGAAACGACTTGGAGAGACGATGAAACACTGACGTTCTCCACACTAACAAGCACTTATCAAAGCGCAATTAGTGACGAAAAATCAAAACCTAAATTGATCAAATTGGACAAAGGGGAAATAGGTAACACTCAATTTTTACTTCTATGTGTGGGTAATTTTTTTAATAATAAAATATAATTTTCAATTTCAGGAATCATATCGTCGCTGGAAGTTGACGACACTCACTTGGATTCCATTAAACCGCCTTCAGACATGGAGAGCCTTTTGTCCATGACTGCTAGCATGCATTCCAACTATGGTTTCGATAGGAAAGGCAAAACTTTTACTGACCGACACGACTCGTTGGGCAGTTGTGCAAACATCGAAAACATCAACCCTCCCTCTTACATGGATGAGGTGACAGACTTTGAAATGGAAAACAGCATTACCAGTATATCAAGTATACGATCTGAAATAGTCGACCAGTCAAACGGTGCATATTATTACACGGCCGTTGATGAATTGACGCTGGTCGATGATCTACCGTCATCAGAAATGTCTTCGGATCAGAATTACTCTAGTCCAGCTCAGATAAGACGTAGACTGACTCCAAAACAAAAGCGGAACATGAAAAAAGACAGGTAACTAGATCTTTTATTTTATAACGTTTAAACTTAACTCAGAATATCTTGTACTCGCTCGATGATGGATTTAGTGCAAAAACACCTATCCTGAAATCAAATGATAGTACATTATCGGAGAAAATATCATATCTACTTTTTTTAAATGTTCCCTAGAAAAAGTTATTTCCAAGAATAAAAAGTGCATATTTCAACATAAGCCAAATAATGAATATATTGAAAAAATATTATGACATTCTTTCCAAGTGTATAACACAATCTGCATAGCTTTGTTTTATTGAAAAATAATGAAAAACGTTAATTGTCTGATAAAAAAAATAACTATAAATAAAGATTCCTATCTACTGTTATAATCAATGTACATAATAATTTTGGCTTGAACTTAAGATTTGTTGAAAAATTACCTATACTATTGAAGTTCAGTTTCAAAAAGTTCTCTGGTGGTAGTTTTTATTTAATCTTTTTAATAACTTTTTTACACATCCTTGTTCGTAATATTATCTTATTTTAACTGTCATATACACGCCTAACACAATTTTCAATACCAAAGTACAACAATAATTACTTTTATTTTTTTTCCAATGAAACGAAACAAATCTTAAACTGTTAATTGTGTGTTATTTGTAGATACAACACGTATACAATCAATTCTGATGACAGCAGAGAAAACTCAACCGGTCCGGAAACCAGACCATCACCAGTCAACGAATCAGATTCGCAGTCATCCGAAGGGGCGGTGAAAAAAATGTCGCCCAAAGAGAAATTCCAAACAAAAAGGTTGTCTGAAAAAGACAGATTCCGAACGCGGACCTTGGCCGATCTTGATTTGACTCAAATTTTGCACAATCATCCGAAGGAAAATGACATAACCGTTACCGAAACATTGAAGTGTGGCGATTACACTTCTTCCGAAGGAACAGATGGGTATTCAAGCGACGACAATGGTTCCAATATACCAGTGGCCGCTGCTCGGGTGGTCAAGCCTACCGAAATAAAAGCGGTCAGAGGAAAAAAGAAAGCTAGGGGTAGTGGCATACCTAGGGGTAGCGGCATACCGATTGTGGCTCGTGGGGGGGGAACACCACCAACTCCACCGACCACAAAAAGCTCAGAAACTACCCCTGTGAAAAAGCCAGCTCCTCTAAGGAGACAGGGCACTTTTACTAAAGAAGAATCGAGGATACCCACACCAGGATCATCTGCCAGTAAAAAGCCCACCACTAGTGGGCCAAACCTAGTCAAAGCACCATCCAGCCGTAAGTCGACTGGCTCACTAGCCGGTAACGGTGTGCGGACATCCCTGAGCAATAACAGTTTGAAAAGCAGCGCTGGAAGTGTTGCTGGAAGTGACCACTGGGCCGGCAGCAACAATAGCTTGTCCAAGATTGGCAAGACGACCAAGACCAACAGCAATACCAGCCTCAATTCTAACGTTTCGGCCACAAGTTCGGGGTGTTCGATTAAAGCTGTTCCCAAAAAAACCAACCAAGAAGCCACCAGCAAGATAGCAAGTCTATGGAAGAAAGTTGAAGACAACAAAAAGAAATCCGTCAACGTTAAAGATAACCGCGTATGGATAAGTTCAAACAATCGAGCTTGAGTGACATTTTTTTTCTCACATATATATTTTTCTTCCATTTGATAATTTTTTTTCTTTTATTGTTAAAATATTAAACTTTGTTTCCTTTGAAATCCAGTAAAAAAACGTGTACTGGGCACTTATTGAGATTACCATAATTTTTTTTTAAACTGTTTATTAAGTAACAAACAGTATTTTTCTTTCTAGAGATTCATAATCGGAATTAATAATTTAATAAATACATTTCAATTAATTGAATATAATTTATTCTATTTGTCAAAAAAAAAAAATTGTATTCAATATAATATTAATATTTTATTAATCAGTAGTAAAATCACAAGTTATTTAAAATGTATTTCATTTATTAATATTGATTATGATTATCAAATGATTTTATATTATATCCATATTGTTTGATTAACGATTATTTTTATATTAGTTTAATTTGAGTGAGATTATTTATTTTATTGTTTTATTTTTCAATCATAGTTTAATCTATTATTATATTCTAATTAAAGAAATTATATCATTTAGTAATAATGTCATATATTTATAATATTATAATAAGACTATAGAAACGATCCTATCTACTTTTTGAAAAGTAAAATTATTTTTTTAGTTAGATTAAAGTTATAAAAGTTAATAACAGTAAGAATACGCGACAGATTGACAATTCCATCTATTTCAAAATAAAGACATTTTTGAGACTGACATGAGTTTACAGTGTTTAAATTTCATTTTTTTTTTATTATTTCTATTACTATTGTATTAATAGTTATAAATATTTTTGTATGATTGGAAATAATTTAATGTGTATACTATATGGGGATGTCCACTTTTAGATAGATTTCCGATTTAGTATAAAAAATATTTGATCAATAAAATATTATATGTTTAACCTTAAAAAATACCTTTTGTTGTAATTGTATATTTTTACTTGTCCTTTCAGTTGTATGTTTTCTTAGGTACCTACTTCGAAATTCGAACGAAGGCGTGATAACTTACAAGTATACACTCGAGTTAGTACATTTATGTTTGTCATTGCACAAATACAAATAAAAATTGAGTGTCATGCATTGCATTCTGCAATCGCACCTATCAAAATACGAAAGAACCGAAGACTGACAACTTCAATAGTTTATCTTTTCCAAATCTGAGCGCGTTACTGCGGTCTGTGCGTTTAACCAAAATTTGTAAGTTCTACATTAATTTGAATGTGTAACTTCGGAGTAGATTTTAAATATTCCGTCTTGGCAGTGTCCTTTTGTTTATGTTGATCCTGACTACATAATTAAAGATTCTCGGTAATAAAGTCTTAAACAATATTGCTGTCGAAGAGGCGTGGGCTTTGAAAACTAATGAATCTATACAGTGCACAATGTGTCATAATTTATTTATAATACGCTTACGATTATTAAATTGATACGTTGACGTGTCGAACCAGGAAAACAAAACAATTGGAGATTTTTAATTGGTTTATTATAAAAACAAAAAAAAATACCAGTAACGACTTGAAAGTTTTTCCATTTATTTTTATCGGTGTCCTGCAAAGTATATTTAAAAATAAAACAGTTCCGTAAGGTTTCAGTTAAATTTACTAAAAAAAGAACAACGATCGCCCTCCAAGACTTCTCTTGTTCCAAGGAAATATCTAATTTAAAACATAGAAAACGGAAGCCGTGAAAGTTTATTTATAAAATTACATTAAAACTTCTTGCGAGCTTACAATAATAAGAAGTAGTTAATAATGGTATACAATTACAAATGTTGTACTCGGTATAAGTTTTTTATTTTTAATACTATTTTTATTGCCCTTTATAATAACAGTATTCGAGCTTACCCCACTCAGTAGATTTAATTTAATTTAGTCCCTATATGAAAATTTAGCAGGTGTGACGAAAAGAAGTGTGTATTGAGTTAATGAGTAGTATTTTTCATTTATTGGTTTTCAATAGAATAAGTAAAATAAACTAGGTAATTCGTTTTTTTTATTAATTATATAATTAATAAAAGTAATGAGAATTGGTCATATTAAAGCCGGCGTTTAGAACATAATTGTTATATGATTATGACTTATCTCATTGTTAAACATAAGGCCGTGCGAATGAGGTTTAATTTTTGTTTTTTACTCAGACTATAGTCATAGTCTTAGACTATAGTTAAATCTATAGCTATAGATTTAGGCTATAGAAAATAGGGCATAGACATACTATAATTATTAACAAAGTAGATTGTAGTCCCAAACCATTTTTTTTACTTGAAAATAGTTACCAAAGTAAAATTTTACATAAATTAAATTAAAAAATAAAATAACTAAATCACTTTAGTTAATCTCTCTCTCTCTCTCTCTCTCTCCCTCGACTCTTGTGTAAGGCATAAGCCATAAGTCTTAATAACATTATGAACATTCAGCGGACTAAACGCTGAAGTTTAAAATATTTTATTTGTGATTGGACTACGGTCAGATAGCCAAATGTGTTATGACATGTAAATTAATTTAAGATGAAATGAGCTAAGTACGAAACAAAATAGGTACTTGCGTTAGTTATTAGTTACTGCGCTCATAATATGCTGTAATAACCATTATTATTATAGATCAATATTCAGCATCCAATTTTTTACGGTTAAATTTTTCAACGTAGTCTGTCGAAAACAGCTGTCAATTCTATTCTTTCAATTCGCAGAACCCGACTATTAGAAAATACTTGACTTCTCAAATGATCCATCCCCAACCAACCGTTGTTCAATCACTCTTTGTTCTTCGGAATTCAAATTCCATACAGCTACCTGTTGTAATTTCTTTAGTCGCAAGCATATGTTGTGTAACCTTTTAAATGTTAACCTTAAAATATCAAACAAGCAATTGAATAACGATCATTTGAAAAGGACTATTATCCTTCTAATAATATTGAAAAGGAAATTTTCCAATTGGTTAATGCCGAAATTCTCAACGTTACAAAACAGAATTAGAATTGACAGCATGACGCACACAAAAATAAGTAATTGCAATCGACTTGCGTTAGTGACGGCGATGGTAAAGCGATTCGCCCAAAGTACACTATAAATATATACAACAATTAACCTAAGTTAACCTAAGTCCTAACTCTATATACACTGTTACGAGCATAGGTATAGTAGGTACTTGGTGTTTTTTTTTTACAACCAACTGTGGCCTTTGGCGTTCATAAGCGTTAATAATAAATTCCTAAAATAAAACGAGTATCCATTACTTCTTGCATTTTAATAAGTTAATGTCTGTACATTTTTTAACGCATAGCTCGTGCCCCATAGAAAAAATTAGTTTATCGTTTAAACGTTCTACCCACTTTAACGCTACTCTCCAGACATTACACCTGAACACTTACTTTTATGTAGATTATTTATGGACAATGACTTCTATCAAAGGGAGGATTTTTAACCATTTAAAAACCGGACCATAAATAAATCCACTCAATTGCTTATTATTAATTATTTATATTAATATAATCAATTTATACTCGGTGTATATTATAAGTAAAACATGATACATTTACTCAACAAACTATCTAAATACTATTTAAAAATAAGATAAATATAAAATATTATGCTTAAACTATACGCCTTAAGAGAACCGAGGACATTATATCATATTTTTATTAAATTCAACTTTTTTTCAAAAAATTTACTAAAGAGAAATGTACTCAGCTAAAATTAACAATTTTTACAATTGTAAAAATCTTAAATAATTTGTTTTTAATTTTTTAGTTCATATTTTTTATCTTCTTGACAAGCTCTATTTAATGAGCTTAAAATAATCTATTATAGTTAAGAGAAAATAAGGCGTTTATAAGATGTAACCCAGACTTTTTTAATTCAAATTTTTAAAAATAAAGAAAGTAAAACATCTTCTTTCGATTTCATAATGGGTTTCCTCTTAACTATATTTATATTTAAAATGTTATATAACGTACATCCATAATGCATTTAGATATGGGCAAAGTGTATTGTGTGTATGGTAGAGGGATTCCCAAGGGGCACACCGAATGTGGGTCGCCGAATGTGATGTAAACTTTATGCGGTAAAGTTAGCTGGATGAGAAGGCTTGAAATTCGAGTAAACATAAGAGGGATAATGAAAGTAGCAACAGAAAGAGTGTATTGCGGACTTGAGTTCTAGAGTCACATACCAATAAGGGTGATCAATCAGAATCGATTGATTGAGATGAGTATTTAAAAAAAAAAAAAAAAAAGCGATTGATCGATTCGGTATACGTATATGCAGTGAACAGAGACGATAACATACATGTATAGGTAAATAATGTAAAAATATTCAATCCTATTTTGTAATTAAGTCAAGGGAGATGAGGGAATAATAAGACGGTTGTTATGGTTACGCGCATCTAGTTTCAATTGCTATCATAAATAGTCAGATAACTGTGCAAATACATTAGTGTTGTTGAATTTTATGAAATTGTAATTTGGAGGTGTACTTGTTCATAATGATTAAATCGCGTGTGATCGATATAAAACATAAGCACCACTGTCAAAATATGCGTAAGCGAATGAACATCGACAAACAGCAAGTAGACAAAAATTTGAGAATAACCACTATGGATGTTGGCAACGAAACTTGGATTCCGCTTCCACGGACCATCGAACTTGAAACGTTCATAAGAAAATTACTGGTTAATATCAACGAAAGGGTAAGCTGTTTTCTGTAAAATATTAACCAGAATAGGTATTCAATATAGATTATGTCTCGATTAAACATGGGGTGATCAATTGACCCTACTGGCGTTAAAAACCGATATTTATATTTAAAGGGAGGGGGGGGGGTATTTCAGTTTACATGTTTAGTGACCTAACTCGTGTTTTCCAAAAACGTGCATTGTCCTTGTAAATCCGAGGTACAGATATATTTTATGTAAATAAGTATGGATAAATTTTTTTTCCCAATGGGAAAAAATTATTTATTCCCAACGGTTATACGAGGAAAAGTATTTAAAGTTTATTTTGCTATGAATATATCAGCTTATTACCGGGGGTCTGTCGGAAATTGGCGTGACGCTTTTGTTGCAGAAAGGAAGGGATGTTTTAGTGGAAGGAGATGGGTGGGAAATTGTCGGAGGCCTGGGAGACGATGGGTTAATGTTGTTACACATTAATGACCCAAAGTCTTTCCTTCGACTTGGATAAATTTTAATGCCAGGTTCGGATTCGCCGAGAACAACTGCGTCAAATCAATGTATACCGACTTTCGGCGCTTGGTGCTACAAAAAAAAAAAATTAAAAGTCAAACACTGTTCTACATTTTTTTGTTATTTGTTTTCCACTTGTGCAGGCGCAACGGTTGAAGAACGACAAAATCGGTCCGCTGCATCTGAAATCTCTACAGGAAGCTTACAGAGACATGGACGCCGATCTCAGGACACAGGCAATGCATTTGCGTTCGAACCGATTGCCATACAGCACCATAAACGCCAACGTGGCCCGTGTCAATGAGTATTTTAAGTGCACCACGACAAAGCACGACGAGGTTAAAGAATATTTCCGCCAGCACGTGCCCGACGTTTCGCCGATTGTGATCGCCTTCTGCCCGTTCATCGGTTACTTTCATAGCAGGTTCAAACAATTGGATGCCATCGAGATCAGCCCGACCGAGTGTGGATCGTGCAACGCCAACCCGTGTGTGTGCAAACCAAAAGATGAAAAAGGATACCTGAGGTATTTTCTGTGTTGGAAAAGGTAGAGATAGGTATTATGTATAATATGCACTGCGAAGGTTTCAATTACACCATCGATTCCGTGTATTGATTTCGGTGTATCATTATGGCTGCTATTTCCAACAGTACTTGTATATACTATATAAATA